AATTATATTATTATAATAAATAGAAATCTATATCTTGGGACATACATAGTAACATCTCCGTGAGATTAGTTTTTTTAGGATAAGGTAATGTAGTATTCTACCTGGAACCATCGCATGTACGTGTAGCCTTTAGCCCACCATCTTCCGAATCAAATTGCAGCCCATTTGGGAACCCAACAAAATCAGTTCATGCATGTTAACACTTGTAGATAAATCTCAGTACGTGTAGCTCATGCATATTATCTAATATATACGTGTAGCCTCAAGTTTCCCATCTACCGCAACGAAATTATCGATCGTACCTTAACCCATCTGCTTAATTCACAAGCCAGACCTGCCGTAAATGGCTATAAATAACCCCCAACCTCCACATCAACTCTCACCCAACAAATCATATCCTTACTAGCCCCAATCTACGTGCAATGGCAAAGCTCATCATCTTCGTAGCCACTTTGACAGCCTTTCTCCTCCTAGTTGACGCCTCCATTCACAGTACTACAGTGATCATCGATGAGAACAACCCCAGGCGATCAGAAGAAGACTGTCGCGACGAGTTGATTGGGGCACAAGATCTCAAGTATTGCCAGGAATATATCATGCAAGAAGCGAGCTCACGGGACGGCCTTGACATTAACCGAAGAGAAGAGGAACGTCTTGACAGGTGTTGTGAACAGCTAAGACAGATGAGATCCACGTGCCGCTGCTATGGCCTCAGGAAGGCTGTTATGAGTGCGCCAAAGCAGAGGGGTGTCGGACGAATGGATTTTGATGATGCTGCGAGTGTGGCCAGAAGCCTTCCCGGCGAATGTGGTATGGAACCAGACAGTTGTCAATTTGGTTCGCCCTACAGAATGTGATAAATGTTGAAGGTGGACATGTTACAATGTATGGAATAATAAATTGAGTTCACTGATCTCTGCTATTTTGGCTTTGAGATTAAGATGACTAAGTAGTACTAATAAAGCACATCATCGTGTGGTGTTTTTCTCCTTCTAAGTATGTGAGTACTGTCATGTAAGGCAAAGGTATTGTTTGAGTCTGTGAGTATCATGTAAGGCCAGGTATAATGTAATGCAAGGAGTTTCTTTTTGTGTTAAAAAAGAGCTTGTGCCTTTCTTATTATTGTCCAAGTTTGAATTTTATTTTCGTCAAAAATACCTCAAATTTTTATAAATCACACGAGAAAAGGTTCAAGAGAACAATATCTTAATTTCCATCTACGTTAATTGTAGAATTTAAGCCCAAAATAAGATCAGATTTCATGCATGGACCTCTAGAAATCTAATTAAAATTTCTCAAGACACTTGAAGAGTTAAGGATATATATAATCTTAGCCAGGCAACTCTTACACACAAGATTGATAAAATGCAGAAGAAAAGATATTAAATTAAAACTCTCTAGGATAAAAAAATTAATTCAGAGGTCTTAATATTATCTAAAAAACTAATTTTCTTAGCGATAATATTGCGTACCAAGATACGGATTACTATTTATTATAATTGTCATACGTGTGTGACATTGCGGCGATCGTCTACCATCCAAGAAAAATATAGAAATGCAGATATGGTGTATTTCTAGTAAAATATGAAGAGACAAGGAATTCTTGTATCTTTTATCAGTTAACAATTGAAATGGAAGTTGCCACTTAGTATTTTGATTATTAGTAATCGTAACTGGTTTAAAAAATCAGGTACGAAGACTGGTTGTGTAAAGGAAAGGTATTAACACCCCAAATACGCCCTACCTAAGATAGGCTGCATTGTTTTGTCTAATCAAATCTAAAGTCTTGTTTTATAGTTTTTAATTGTTGGTCTGTCAAAGGTTCAAAATAAGCCCTCCTCAATAAGGAGGTTCTTTTCTTAAAAATGGTTAAACCTAACCATTTTATTATCCTAAAAAATGAATTAAATATATGAAATATGCATTACGTGTAATGTCATACCTCGGATACTAAGCAATAAACAAAATAAAATTTTTGCTGTTTTTGAAATTTTGGCCAATGTTCTCTTCACTTTAATAAACTGGTTATTAAAACCAAAATTTATGCTAAAATATTGTTTTTGGTGCATGAAAAAGACAATATGATTTTTTAGCTTTGAGACAGTTGGCTACATGCACACAAATATTTTTTTTTTTTTTTTTTTTTTTTTTGTTTTTTTGTATTTTTAAATTTTTTGATAAAAACAGAGTATTTTAATACCGGATTTGTATTTTTACAGCATAAAAATACTGCCCGATATTAATCAAAATTACATAAAATATGCATAAAAATTGTAAAAATTCTAAAAAACAAGCATTTGAATTTTTTTTTAAAATAGACTGGGTTGGTCCTAAATACACGGGTTGGGTCGAATCTAGCCCAACTACAGGGGCTGGGCTCAGCCCAGTTCGTATAAACAGTAAGCCTCTCCACTGTTCACATGCAACGCGAACAATAGAGAGAAAGGAGAAGAAGCAGTGGACGAAGGGGGAGGAGGAGAGGGAAGAAGGTTGACCTGCGGTGGCTTACGATGCTTCTGGCAACTGTGGCAGTGGCAATGACACTGCTAGTGGTGGCTAGGGCAAGGTGGCACGCGGTGGCTTTATTGTTTTCTTCTCTCTTTCCCTCCTCTCTTGTTTCACTATTTTCGCCTTTTCTTCTCATTTTTTTTCCTTTATTCTGCTCTCTCTTATATTCTCCTCTCTCGTTCGGTTCTCTCTCGGGTTCGATCTCCCTTTCCTTCTTTTTTTTTCTCTTTTCAGTCCCCTTCCCTTGTTTTTATAAGCAAAAACAAGGGAGGGAAACGTGGCTGGGGTGACTACTGTGCTGTCACCCCTCCACTGCCTCTTCAACACGTGGAGAGGGTGGCAAATCAGTGTCTTTTTGAAGTCATTGGAGGGAGGGAAATTGGTGAAAAACAAAGGATAAAAACCAAATTTTCTTCCCCTGTTCTCTATGTGTTCAAGGGAAGAATATGTGGTATCGTTCAAAACTGCATCGTTTTGAGTTTTTTTTTTTTAAACAGTGAGTGAAATGGCATCGTTTTAGTCAAAACGCACCATTTCATTTAAATGAAAAAGCGCCAAAAACTTGTTAAATTTTACTTTTGTCCTCAATTTGTAATTTGCTTAATCAAGTCTTTAATTGCAATTTTAATTTAAAATCAATGCAATTGCATCCCTTCTAAAAATCCAATAGCGGCCTTATAGTTGACTGTCCTTTTCACTTTGGTTCTTGATCTTGATATTATGCAATTTGACCCTCCATTGAGTAATAAACTTTTAATTTCTTCAATTGGGCCCTTGACCGATTTTAATTCCAGCCTTTCTACTTACGCGCCTTTTTTGTTTTGGTCCTTGGTTTCAGATTTCTTCAATTAGGTCCCTAATTAGCCATCAAACTTTAATATTTATGCAATTAAGTTCCTGATGTGACCAAATTAACTTTGAAAAATTATAATTTGACCCCATAACTTTAATTTCTTCCAATTAAAGCTTAAATTGACTCCAAAATCAATTTTTCTTATAATCAAACTCTCCATAAATTCGATTAAATCTTCAATAAAATTTAATTTTAGTCATAAACATCTAATTTTGAACATTTCTTACTCAAAATTGAATTTTCTTTGTCAACAGGGCTGTCATTAGTCAATAAAATACTGTCAAATTTTAATTTTTGTATTTTTAACCTCCTCAGCTAATTTTTACTCATTTTTAGGATGCATTGACACCATGTTTTTTACTATTCATTTTTTTGATAATATTTTTGATTTTTTTGTATTTTATTATTTTTCATGTGGGGGGCTCAAAATAGGTTATGAAAATAATAATATAATTACTATTTTTTTCTTTTTTCATTTTATTTTTAGCCTTTGCTTCGAGGGTAAGATAGTCTTTTTACTTTGACATAAATGTCTTTTAATGATTGTACGAGGTTATTTTGGTAAATATATTCTATAATGCATAGTAAAATTACTAATGTAACCTTTAAATAAAATAAATCAATGCCTTCTACATAAGGATTTGTTTTTTTGTATTTTTCATGTTTTATAGAATAATTAAATTACTACATTACCTTATAATTTAAATTTTTTAGCATTGCCTTTAGGGGTTTTGTTGTAATTTTAACATGATTTGTTTTTTAATATTATTTAGTCCTAAGAGCTTTTCTGGTTTTTGCCAAAAAAATAATAAAAAAGCTGTTGCACGTGCCTTGCATGTACCAGCCGCTCTGCCTCTTTTTAGTGGTGTGTGCGGCAAATAGTGATTTCACAATATCATTTGATTTATCTAGCTCGATGTCCTCTTCTTCTTTGGATGACATATGTATGGTAGTTTGATGTGATTTGACATGAAATTGCTTTTATTTGCTTTCTTTCTTTTTCTTATCTTTGTTTGTAGGATTGTGTGCTGGCCATGTAAAAATTCATACCAAACCTTCAATTTACTTTTTTCTTTTGATTCAATCATTTTTCTCTTATTTGTAATTATTTTATTTATATCAATTATTTATAATTGGATTTTATTTTTGATTTCACCCCTAATTATTTGATTTTTTTAATTTGTTTTCAAATTTGATCCTCATTCTTTTAATTTTAATTTTTTAATTTTGAATCATTTTTTGATTGATTTGTTTTTTTTCAATACCAACCCTAGACATTTAATTTCATTTAAGTTTTCTCAAAACATTTAATTTCATTTAATTTTTATGTCAAATTTAGTCTTAATTCTTTTAATTGATATATATATATATATATATATATATATATATTGTTTTCATTGCTTTTATAATGATTTCCCCCTAAATTTCATCCCTTAATTTTTGTTTGATTAAGAATTTTATTTTTTATTTTTTTCAGATTTACCTTTAATAAAGTCATAAGGTTTTATTTAAGAATAAGTAAAGGATTAGCTCGGGCCGACTTCTGTTTTTTTAAAGCATTTTTTATATTCTTTTTATCAATGTTTTTTTCTTTTTTATTTATAGAATTATCTTAATTTTATGTCTTAGGTCATATATTTGATTTGTTGAGCCTGGTTGGTTGCAGAGTTCGCTTAAGGTTTTTTTTGTTAATTTTTTTTTGCTTTGACTATTTTTTTAAATTTAAATTTTTAAATTTGCTTATAATAAACTTACTGATGGGACCCGGATCCAGGGTTTCATAGATGCGAGCTTTTTAAGATTCGACAATGTTTAAGATGTTTGTTCATGTTTTCTTGATTTTTACAAATGTTTTCAATTTCATAACCTATGATTTTTTTTTAATCTTTAAAATCTAGTCCTTATTCTTTTAATTGATATTTTATTTATTTATTTTATTAAATTGTATCCTCCTTAAGTTTTTTCTATCAAATTTTTTCTTTATTCTTTTTGGTGCTTTTACAGGTTTTTTTTTATTAATACTTTCAACCAATTTTATCATTTAAAATTAAATTGATTAAGAATTATGCTTTTTGATTGAATCTGGGTAAAGATTTCACGGAATGCAGCTTTTAGAGATTAGAA